CATAGTTTGCACTCTTAAAGATCGTATTATTGTATGATTTAAGCTATTCTGCTCACTAGACGCTGACGAATGATATGACTTCCTGGCATTTAACTTGCCCACATGAATTTTCCACTTTCGTCATCAAGCCTTATTTGGAGTAGATGACAAAGACCATTGCTTATTCTCCATCTTCATATCATAATATTTCCAACCCACCTACATTAAAATGCGAAGTGAAGATCGCATTTCACTTTACCGATTACTTTCATAGCCACATTTGCCCCACTTTATGGCACAGTTTACATGCAATTTTCTTGTAGTGCATACTATGAAGGGATCCTTTTTGTCACTGCTTGAGGCGAATACTGTCGCTATCATCACCTCTCGGTGCATGGTCAAAATTATCATTTTGCTGGCGAGCCCAAATCGGTACCTGCAACCAGAATGAATAAGCTTCGATACTGCCGGTGGAATGCACAAAGTGGGCGAAGAATATGAATTAAATTGTTCCACACAAAAACTATTCTCATCCTAGTTGCGCTGGATCTCAATTTCCACCTCGTATCGGTTTCATCATCAGCTCCAAGTTGAATCGAGACCGGCTTGTGCAGCATCTTTATTATTTTCCACGTGGTACCACTACACCACACTGTACTGTTGCCAAATGCATAAAAGGATATACAGGAATTAAAATAAACATGTATCAGTTAGAAACAAACAATGAAATTGATATTTGTCTACCATCTGAGGTGGTGATGAAACCCAGGCAAAATCGAGACAGCATTTCCAACCTGCGTGACGCGGTCTACAAGAAATTTAGAGGAATTGTGTAGCTTAATCGTAGCAACTTGGGACTATTCTATTGGCACTCATTTAATTATATTTAAAATTCAACTTGATTTCTGTTATTTAACTCACGGAAAGTCTTGGTAGCGCACACCAATCGGCTTCTGAGGTCTGCTGGGGTGAAGATGAGGTTGAAACGAATGATGATGAGGATGGGTAGGCGGAGGAGATAAGCAATGATAATATGGAGGAAGAGGGTTAGAAGAAGGTGGTGGATGTGGATTGTGAAAATGAGGATGAGAATGAGGTCGATGATAATGAGGATATTGATGAAGATGATAGGAAGGGGCAGACGAGAAAGAAGAGGAGAAGGAGGAGATTATGGATAAAGAAGATGGGGTGATGATGATGAAGAGGATGATGATGATGATGATGATGATAATTGGGATGAGAAGGATATAGATGATGCTGATGTAAATAATAGTTATAATGATAAAGATGAAACGGAGGAGTAGGAGGTAGTAGAAAAGTAAGAGGGAAGGAGAAGATGTAGGTGGGGAATGAAGAATATGGTGCGATGATGATGATGATGATGATCAGAAGGATGG